GAGGCGGCCGCCCGCAGGGTAAGCGGCGGTTCGGGGCCGGCTCCGTTAACCCGCTCCGCGCGGTAATCCCGGGCGGGCGCCGCGGCGCGGACGGGGTGTTCCGGGCAGGGGGACAGCATCGCACCGCAAGCGGTGGGTGACACGGCGCGACGCGGAGCTCGGGGCGCAGGCGGGCCCCGCTGAGGCGCATCCAGAGCGGATACTGCCATTTCCATGCAATTTACCATTTCCAATCCGTAAGAACAAGATTAGGGAGGCTCTGCCCTTATATTCCCACCGGTGGATAAGGCAGCTGTGGGAAGCCCTTTAATGAGACTGCTATAAATACCGGTTGATTTGCAGTAAAATATAAATAATGTTTCATGGCTGCGGGCGGCAGCGCGAGGCCGTGTTTGGCTGGGCATGCCATGCCAGGCATTGCTGCCTCCCACCTGGCTGCATTCCTGGCTCCAGCACGCAGAAACAAATGAGAAATTAAAAGGTTGCAGAACACGTCCATTTAGATGCCTCAGTCTTGGCTGGAGAATGGAGATGCAGAGAAATTGCATGCACGGAGAAAGACCATGGAGGAAAAACATGGCAAAGGCCAGGATCTTATCCAGGTCCTCTGCCAGGGAGGGATTATTCTGCAGGAAATTTGTGAGGCTTATCCTTTCCACAAAACACGTGTCTTGAAACAGGGGAAGAAGAAAAAGAAGAAAACCTTTTATCTGAAATTTGTTATCCTTGGATTTCTGCTCCAAATAGCAATTCTAAAGGAGAACTTCACATAAAAAGAAATTTACTTCCTACCTAGTAAACATTTTCTACAGTGAAATTTTTATGCAACAGGTCCCTCAGCACTGATCCTCTAGGCAATGGCATCCCGTATCCCAGCGCAGTATTTAAAGCAGAAGCAGGGACATGGGTTTATATCACAGGCTGAAGTCACAGCCACCTTTGCCACTGCGGGAGCAGGGCTGCTCTGCAATGGAAAAAGGGGCTTTTCCCGCTCTTAACCCTCTTCATCGCCACCTCTGCACCACTCAGGTCTCCAACGTTTGTCATGGGTGGCAAACGTTGACTTTTGAAGGGGGCTCCAGCTCACTAACCCACCTCATCCTCCGCATTGCCCGGCCTTCGCACTCAGCCAGCAGTAGCAGAGCAAACCTGAGGTGTTTTTTGCGTTGTGGGGTGCGAGGAAGGCGAGCGCTCTGCAGCCCTGCTCCTGCAAACATCGATTCCCAGTGTCTGCCTCGGGCCCCACCAGGTTTCCCAGGGTGTTTGAACTGAAGCACGCGCAAACACAGCGGCCGCACTGCAAACCCTCTCCTGCCCGAGCACCTCGCAGCCGGGTGGTACAAGCCAGCCCTCCAGCGCTGCTGCTTGAACCCATATAAATGCTCATTAATTATTTCCTCTGCTCAGTGACGCCAAAAAGCTGAGCTAGAGGCCTGTGGAAACGCGAGTTCCCCAAGCTCCTGCGCTGCCTTTGCCCGCCCTCCGCACGGCTCGGGGCGACGCCGTCCCCGCTCATCGGGCGGGCGGCGC